GTGGGCTACTCCAGGCCTACTTTTTCTGTTTGGTATTGTCAGCTCGCCTAAGCAAAACATGACGTCTTCAGTGAACTTGTTTTCATCAAGCAACACACCTCCAGCTCCCTTCTTGTGCTTGCAAACAGCCTGCAAGCTAACGTAACACACACCGCATGCTAATAAAAACAGCCTTTGTGATCTTGCAAACAGATAGCTTCACTGAAAATGGTTTGATTAAGAAACTATAAGTGAAGACAGGAAATCATTTACGTTCTCTGCAGGGGTGAAGGGATGTTCGCTGCATTCTGCTGTAGTTTCTGGAACGCGTGCGATACCCTTATTGTCATTCTAGCATAAATTATCATTATAATAGATGTGGGAAACTGAGGAGCATTTATTAACCAAATGTCTCACCAATTTTCAGAAGAAACAAGAGCGGTACTTGGCGTCAGTCTCTCTTAAGCATAATTTCTGTTCCTAGTGAGTAATACTAGAAACATTGCACAGCACTCACTGAACATCTGGAAGGTTCTAGGGCCACGAGCAACAAACACTGCGGTCTTATGACAAAAAGTCTTGCCATGCAAACTTGAGCGGCCTATTAGGACAGATTTATAAAAAGGAATGGCTGAAGAGAAGGCGGCAGATGTAGTGCAGCAGATTTTTTTAAGGTTTCAGGTCATATTCCATAAAAATCTTCCTTGAAAAATTAATTCAAGCTGGCTTTGCCAGGAAAGCTGTAAGTTTGTTGTGGAGGACCTGGCCCCTGACAGCAGGTGAGGACGTCTCCTCCCAGCTAGGGGTCCCCCAGCTCAGCGCCAGGCGCCGTAGGTGTTGGTGTCGGAGGCAGGAGGCTTTGCAGGCTCTAGTTACCAGGCTGTCCTCGTTTAACACGCAGGGCCTGCAGAAGTAACGCGACTGCTTTATGGCTTTCTGGGAACAAATAGGGCAACTCCCTTAAGCACAATTAACTCTTAACAGTGGCAACATTATCAGCCCTGCAGCTGAATCTCAAATGAGGGTTATGATGGTATGGGGTGGGCCTTGTTGGGACCATTTGACACCAGTCTTCTGCCAGCTACATATGCAGTTTTGTTGTGTCTCCTGCCTCCTTATGTCCTCCTGCTGCTACTAATGATGCCCTGCCAGCAGCAAAGCTATTTCCCTGGGAAGCTCTTAGGCTGCTTACAGCCCAGCTGCCTCCTTCTGCCAGCTACCAAACGGCTGCTCCGGCTCCCACGTAGGCTTCTCCCTCTCAAACATGGCCTACAGTACGCTGGAAACCCCAGTACCTACTGGGAACCTCAATACAGTGTTGCAAAGACATAGGATATATTGAACTGTCAGGAGATGTTTGGGATATGATAGATATGGGTGTGAGGACTGATTTTTTTTGTTTTTTAATATTTTCATCAGGAATAAAAAGTAAACTTCAGCATGTTGCTGACATTTACAATTGTACATTGCAAAAAGCTGCAAATACCAATGAAGAATTACAGATGGGGTGTAAAGAAACAATGCACTCAAAAAGTAATAGTTTTTATCTAGAATAAGGCAAATTGATAAACAGTATACAAATAATCCAAGTAATTTTTCTGTGGAAGAAATAGCCTGAATAGCATGAATTGGAAAAAAAGAATGATGGAAAACTCCCCTTCTCCTCTGGCAACTAGATGCGAGTTTGCAGAGGATATGGCAAGGCAAAAGAGCAATGTCATTTTGGACTCCACATGGAGAGCTGTAACAGCATCAGGTTAAGTAATTTCCTCTATGATTTTGGCTTAAAGTATTCAGTTCCATCTACAGCCCTATCAAAAAGACAAAAGAAAAATGAGAAAGAGTTCTGAAAAAAGCCAGAATAACAATCAATGTCTGGAGGCCAGATTTATTTGGAAATGCATGTATATGCTTAACTTGTCCAGACCTTTAAGGGTGGTTAAGGGGAACTCATAGTGGACAACTTCTTCTGGAACAGAGTACTTAGAAATACAAAGCAGGAAAAAAAAATGGTCAGCAGGTCATGGGCTGCCAGAGATCCCAACAATGGTTTGTTTGCTGCTGCAGCCACAGCCCCCAAATTACTCTAGTAGAAGGTCCCAAAAGAGTGTCTAAAAATGAGGGTTGCATTTATATTCTGAGAACCAAGCTTGAGAACCAAGTTTTTGTTTCCTCAGAAACTCACTTCCAGATACTAACCTCCCTTTTATTTAAATACTATGTATTTAAAAAATAGGCCCACAATCTGCTACAGTGCTGAGGATCACACTGATTGCTTGATATTGCTTGCTATTCTAATACAGTCTTCGTTCATCCCTAAGCCTATGTGTTACCCTCTCCCTATAGCACACTAACAGAGATGAGATTAGGAGTGAGGCTAATGGGTGGCAACACCATGTACATAATGATGTATTTAGAAGAGGAGAAATAGATGCAAGTTAAGCTAGAAAGGAAAAAAAAAGAAGAACCAGCCAAAACACCAACATCGCGACTCCAGAGTTTCTGCATTTCTGACTGTTGCCTTCATACTGAGGCACAGAGGACACATCGGCAACTGGAAGCCAGTCTGTGCAGCTTGTTCAAGGCATTACCTCTGCTGCCTAGCCAGCAGTGAGGCTGCACGAGCATTCCTATGCAGCACTGGTGCCTGTCATCCTGCCTATGCCCATCTTGGACGTTAGGAAAAATTTCTTCACCGAAAGGGTTGTCAAGCATTGGAATGGGCTACCCAGGGAAGTGGTCAAGTCCCCATCCCTGGAGGTATTTAAAAGACAGGTAGACATGGTGCTTAAGGACATGGTTTAGTGGTGGGATGGCAATGTTAACTGTTGGACTTGGTGATCTTAAAGGTCTTTTCCAACCTAAACGATTCTCTGATTCTGTGAGTCTATGATCTTCACAACCCTGGGTGCATTTGAAAGTTCACATCCCACCAGATACATCAGGACAGGCTCAGTGCTGATGATCACCGGTAGCTAACAGGCTGCCTGCGTAACAGCCCTGCAGACAAGAAGCAGAGCGTCCTGTGCGTGCGGCTGCTCCAAAAGCCCCTCTTGCAGAACAGTGTGAATAGAGTCAGCAGGTTGCTTATATTTTAAACATGGTAAGTAAGGACTGCTTGCTGGGTTAGCAGAATATATGGGGCATGACAAAAGGCTGAAGGAGTAAACAACATATTATTTTCCCACATCATGTGGCTATCAGGAGGAAAACCTCAAAAAAAAAAAAAAAGAAAAGACAAGGAAAAAAAGTGACAATAAAGCAACCAGCTTCTCCCTTTCTCTTTGAAAATCAGAACAGGAAACAACTTGGGGCTTCCCTATTTAGCAAACAGTTCTGTTACAGCAGAGGACGTTGAGAATGACGAGTTAGAGAAGGTCTTTCCTAGAAGAGATTATGAATGTATCATAAATTAAACACTATTTGAGTTATTAATTCTTTTTCTAAGGATACTGCTAGTATACTAAAACACTTTTGTAGGGCAGATATTCTAACCAATGATTGTGTTATCTCTTGCATCAGACAATGAAAGGCAAAGAGACCTCAGTATTACTCTCATTTTCACACTTTCTGGATTTTTTAGGGGCAGTAAAAAATCCATGAACAATTATAGTATGCATTTGAGAAATATCTAGGCTCTCTGAGCTCCTGGGAACACTTGAGAATTTAAAGGGAGAGATAGGCAGGCAGGAGCTGGGTCAGTTCAGCTATAGCATAAATGTATTCCAATGCTTAGAGGATGGTGGGGAGTTCAGCAGCGTATCAGACATGGAGCTGTGACTCCAAAGCACATGATGCCCTTTAGACTCTTTGTAATATGTTTATTTATAGTTAGTCTGGCTTCAGCAGCTGAAGTCACAAAAGCAAGTCTTTTAAAACTATTCCCAGTATATTCAGCGCAATGCAGGTTGCAAACATTTCTATTCGTGGAATTTAACTTGGATTTTAAATTGCTATATATCTTTGGTCATTAATTCTGGAATAAGTTCCTTCCATCTATTTTAGCTTATTTCAATACTTAATTCTAGAATGGTTATTCTATTCCAGAATTGTCTTGGCTCCAGAAGGTCACAGAAGTATCTTTCATCAGACATACCAATATTGTAGTATGCCCTGGGTAAAACAAGAATTAGAATTCTAGTTCAGTCAGGAGCACAGATCACATCATTTATTATCTGCAGATGCCAGGACATTAAAACTTTCAATTGTTTTCCCACCAAACTGAATGAGGCAGTTCGTTAATACAATTACCTCTGTATAATTGGAAACTAAATCAACGATGACTGCGTGATTTGAATATTAGTTTAAATAATTTCATTTTTATGATGCTATTTTGTTGTACATGGTATCACCAAAAAAAAAATCCTGCTGACTGTGATTTGAGTTTGCGCCTTTGAGAAGAAAGAAGGACATTTTCAACCTTTCTAGTTTTCTGGGATACAGTGTGCATTGCTTTTAATTATTTAGGCTGGCACACATTAACACTAAAAGTCCATAGTCCATAGTGACTGAAACAGGAGGGAAGGACTATGTGGATTATAACTGACCCAGGAAGAGAAGCAGGCACCAGAGGTCTTTGGCAAGGCCCTTAAAGGGAATTTGGGGCAGACAACCGATACAGAACTTGAGTGTTGTGAAGGATTTCCCCTGCTCCTTTCAGAGGAGCATCCCTAGTCACTGCCTGCTCGCTCTTTTGGGAAGAAGCAGTTTTAACGTGTTTGGACAGGTAATAGGGAGGAGAACCTCAGACTACTCGCTCTGTGTCACCGTCCATTTGGATCTCTCAAATTTACAGGACAACGTACTCAGTAAATTAAGCTTTATTTTATGAGCTCGTTAGGAAAGAAAACACACACAACAAGCAAGGGCTCAATCCCCTTTGTACAGGCTAGTCTAGCACGTGAATTCACTAATTCATCACTTAAGTCACAAGGCTTCTAACTCACAAGATCTCTAATTCATAACTTGCAATTCATTAACTCATAACTTGTAACTCGTGCAACTATGAGCAAAATAATTACCTAGCCAATGGTGAGAGTGCTCGTCCTTTCTCCTCCGTCACGGTATGGGCATCCCCTGTATCACACCAGGAAGCACGAACATCAGTGTTTTATCAACATTATTTTCATCACAAATCCAAAACATAGCACCATACAAGCTACTATGAAGAAAACTAACTCTATCCCAGCCAAAACCAGTATGATCTCCGCACCTTATTCCATACCATTTATGTCATGCTCAGTTCCCACACTATCCAATAGATCCTCAATAGCCACTTCCCCCCTTCCCATCCTTTCATATATACACAGATATCATTCCCTTAGTCTATGGACCATGCCTGTAAAATGTCCGTAAAATGTCCATAAAATGTCTGTGAAAGGTCCACTGAGTTCATCAGTCTGTGACTTGGGTTCTCCCTGTTATGGCGGTCACTCAGGACAGGAGAGGTGTTGTGTTGCATGGAGTTGTTGGGCACCAAAGCCAGCTCAGGCCAGCTCACTGCTGCACTTGCACTGCTTCTTGTAAGGCTCGTCCTCCACTGGTGGTGGTTCCTGCTATAGTACTTCCTATAACATGCAACTCGAATCATAGGTTATAACAATTTAGAGGTATATCCATTACAATCTCCACCCCTGGTCCCTTTGGTCATCACAAGGTACTCCTCCCCTTGCCTCTGCTCCAGCTGGATTTATCCACAGACTCCAGTCCCTTAGGGGTGGATCTGTGCCAGCATGGACTTACTCATGGTCCACAGTTCCTTCAGGGGTGTACCTGATGTGGTCTGGACTTACACACAGCCATAGTCGCATCGAGGTGTACCTCCTGCAGCACAGCCTTATCCCTGGGCCCACAGTCCCTTCAGGGGTATACCTGCTGTGGACTTACCTGTGGCCACAGATGCTTCTGCTCCCACATGGACTTATCCACAGGTCAAGTCCCTTCAACTCAGGTTGACGCTGGATCTCCAGCCTGTCCAGCACAGCAGCACAGGAACAGCACTGATGTCTTGGCCATCGGCCAGCCCAGACACATCATCATTGCTGTTATCAAAATGCTCCCAGGCACAGCAGGGTGAGATGATAAGCCCTACAGCAAACAGCAAGAGCAAAAAGCAGCCACTAATGAGCACTAGACTGTAATGTACAGCAAGGCAAGCAAGCCCCATGGCAAGCACAGGACCTGGCCAATTAATGGCTAAATAGCTATAAGAGCTATAAATTCAGTATAGCAAACTCCAATCAAATCTGTCATTACCTCAAACCCTTTGAGCCCCACATTGGCACCAAAAAAGACTGTCGTAGTTTAACCCCATGGCTTAACAGCACCACACAGCCACGTGCTCACTTTCCCCCAGTGGGATGGGGGAGATAACCGGAAGGGTAGAAGTGAGAAAACTCGTGGATAGAGATAAAGACAGTTTAGTAGGTAAAGCAAAAGCTGCACACACAAGCAAAGAAAATAAGGAATTCACACACTACTTCCCATCGGCAGGCAGGAGTGCAGCCATCTCCAGGGAAGCAGGGCTCCATTACACATAATGGTGACTTCAGAAGAGAAACACCATAACTCTGAAAGTCTCCCCCCTTTCCTCCTTCTTCCCCCAGCTTTTATTGCTGAGCATGACATCATGTGGTCTGGGACATCCCTTTGGTCAGTCGGAGTCAGCTGTCCCGGCTGTATCCCCTCTCAGCTCCTTGTGCTCCCCCAGCCTCCTCGCTGGTGGGGCAGCCTGAGAAACAGAGAAGGCCTTGACACTGTGCAAGCACTGCTCAGCAATAGCTGAAACATCCCTGTGTTACCAACAGTGCTCACCCCATAGCACAGTATCATATAAGCTACTATGAAGAAAATTAACTCTATCCCAGACAAAACCAGTTCAGTTAATATATATAGAAAAAATTGCTTAATTGACAAAAAAGTCAGCATGAATTTTCACTGCATGAAAGACACAATAAGCTCAACAACTAGGAAATATCCTTTATCTTGTTTTTTTATCAAGCTAACTTAATAGGAGGTGAATTCTTAATGTGTCATGGTAAAATGTGCACCCAGAATTGCCTGTACATAAGCATCTGTACATTACAAAAAGCTCTCCTGTAAATTGTTATCTGTTCAGTAGATCAGGCTGCTGTTGCAAAATGAAGGACCACAGCGTGATAGTGTCATGACAGCAGCCCTTCTCCTCTGTGAATGAAAAGGGGGGTCAGGCAGAGTGCATCCAAAGGCTTCTAAATCATCCTTACAAACTCTTTCATCTGTTTTAAATGCATTGTTCTCAAGAATTTTTCATCTTGAAAAGAAATTAATTTTTAAGTTTAAGTCATCAAGCCGTAACAAGACAGAAGCTGTGACAGTCAACGCATTCAAAGTGTCAGGTTATTCTACAGGATGAGACAAGTACCAGCAGAAGACAAACCATTCCTGATTCCTTGGAGCCAAATTTAAAGTTGAACTTTCCTCAGGAAAAATAAGGGTCTATATCCTATTTGTTCAGACTCATGTACAAAGTCCTACCACTTCTTGTATTTCTGTGGTTCCTGGGAATGAGATCATAGCCGATACTTAACATCTGAGACGTGGGAAAAGGTTGTAGGCATATGGTTACTATATCACTACTACTAGAGATAGTGTCTTCTCCATGAAGTGAAGAAAGAACCAGCTACTGTACTTCAGACTGTACGTTAATCTCATCTAACTTTTAGATGGCAAGGGTTAGGGAAGATGAATTCCAACCATTGTGGCTGAGGACATACCATCTTATGCCAACAACCAAGCAGGGATCCGTGGTCCATCTCAAGACTTTACGATGTAAGAAGGGAACAGAGCTTTTGACGCATGTGTTGATGCTGATTCCAGGGTCCTTGGTTTACATCTCATGCAGAGCTCTCTGTAAAATAGAGGATGCCTCCTCATCACTGAGTGAAAAATAAATTTTGTTTCACTGAATCCTTTCATCAGTATTTTTCTAGTGACATCACTGGGACTAATTTTAAAATGAAAGTTCTTATTAAAAATGTAACATCAAAAAACCTTCTAGTCAAAATCCCAGATCCTGAGAGTCACTCCTCATTACAGTCTCAGTCAAAATAGTCACTGGTTCAAAGTTCAGAAATTCAAGTGTGACTGAAATTCACTTGGCAGGTCAGGACTTGGTCTCCAACATTTTTCAGAGGTTTGAGGGATTTTATTCCAGCTGATATTTTCCTCCGTTGCCCTTTTATATGAAGGTACCCAAACTGCCAAGGTTTTTAAAATGTGTATTTTCAGCAGTAGGTGGCACTATGAAGTTTCTATCTTCATAATTATTCTAATGTGAAATAATATAAAATGTTATGCAGATACATTAGAAAGAACTTCATCAAAATGTTGTTAATAGTCCATTAACTAAAAATACGGCCAGATCTTTCCATTTTCCTATCATTTTAAAAAGAGCATGAAAATATTTTAGAATAAATTCTGATTACAAAACAAATGTTTTTCTAAATGTTAAGATTGACAAAAAGTCTAATGCAAGAATAGGAATAATGGGAATGTTTATGCCTATAAAAATAGCCAACTCATAAAATTTAAAATTATATGTGTCATAAAAAGTCCTCTACTTTTCAGTAAAGCACCACCGTGGGTTGTTCTTGAATATACTACTTCAGCTGCTTCAAATTTCCTGGAAATTATATCTACCTCATTCGCATACAAGCTGTAACATTGCAAGAATGGGTGTCAACACGGATAGACTAGGTATGTAAGTTTTATAAGGTAGATGAATGCACACTAACAGGAATAAAGCAAATGCAAAAGCATTTGGATTTTTCTGTGCTTGGCCAAAAGTTCATAGAATCATAGAATGTTTAGGGTTGGAAGGGACCCCTAGAGGTCATCTAGTCCAACCCCCCTGCAGTGAGCAGGGACACCGCTAACTAGATCAGGTTGCTCAGAGCCCCGTCCAACCTGGCCTTGAATGCTTCCAGGGATGGGGCCTCCACTACCTCTCTGGGCAACCCGTTCCAGTGTTTCACCACCCTCATTGTAAAGAACTTCTTCCTTATATCTAGTCCAAACCTACCTTGTTTTAGTTTAAAACCATTATTTATCATATTTAGGAGTGGAGACCAAAGCATTACCTGTGGGCCCATATTCCTCTATGAATGCCATATGGAGATGTTAACGCCGCATTTATCCCAAATAAACTCCAGGATTAGAAAGATGCAATGTTAATTGAAAACACTTTCTTCAAATCTTCACTATACAAAAAGCTATAAACTAACAAACAAGCCTGTGTCTCCAGGTATTTCAGGTTGTCTAATCATACTTTGTTCCAGAAAGCTCCTAATGCCATACACCTCGTTCGCCAGTGGCGTACAGTGGGAACAGCGCAGTGAGATACAGCATTTTCATTAAGCTGATTTTTGGATGGCTGCCTTCTCGTCAGAAATGAAGTGCTGGTCTGCCTGAGCTCAAGGTGTGAAGATAAGGAAAGGAGAAAAGAAATTAAGGAAGGAACACAAATGAAATATATAGCCAATGCTCTTTTATCTGGCCTGGCCAGAAAGTGTCCTTGCCTTTTTTTTTTTCACCCCAGGCTCCAAGCAAGCTGCTTAGCTTTGCATGCGATTTCTGCACTGTGATACCATCTATGCCAACGCCTAAGATTCACGTTTGCTTTTATTTTGCTTTCTATTAAATAAAGCATGTAGAAAAGACACCTTTATAGCTTCAGGGCAATTTTTCATGAACTGACATTGTGTATTACTCATTTTATGCTAACGTGGTCTGCTTGCGGTTTCTTTTATAATACTGAAAAAGTCAAAAGCTGGTACTTAAAGAAAACACCATTTGCAAGGAGCTGGCAGCAGCCGCACTCAAAGGTTTTTTAACTTGCAACAGCCTGCTTCTGTTTTCTCCAGAGTCTCCAACAGTCCTTTTGGTTGGATTCAGTTGGGTTCACTGTTAGACCACAGAATAAAGTGGTACTACAAAAATAATACATGGGAATATGCTTAAAGTTTTGCTGCTGGTTCTCCATTACAAATGATTTATTGTCACCATGCATTCTCCCCCCAAGGAACCGAAGCCACAGCACCATAGGAGCTCCTTCAATATACCTAGATCATTCAGCGGTACAGCACAGGTTCTGCTTAGACCTCCATAATATGTTTAGTGGCTCTATGGATGTGTTTTAACCAAACTTTCACTGTAAGGCAAGTGCTGCCACTCTGTCTAGTGCAGTTATCAAACACGCATATAATTAATCTACTTAGATTACAGGTTCTTCCTTCGAGTGGATATATCTATTTCATATAATTACAGCAAGCAATACCTTTGGGGAGGCACCCACCCACAACATGATGGTGCAAAGAATTTTTTTAATTATTAGCGATTTACCAAATTTATACGCTTGCGCTATTTTTTAATTTATAAAGTCACATCCTTGTCCCTTGCAAGGCACGTGTGGAAATGAGACCTTTGCATTAGCCCTGTGTAAATCGCAAGGTGCACAGCTCAACGGTTGTGAATACCCAAGCAGGCATCGTGCACCAGTCTGAGAGAGACTACAGCAGCGCTCCGGCTGCAAGCCACGGGACCTAAGTGAGCACCTGCCAAGGAACAGTTAGGCCTTCTATTACGGCTAGTAAGCGTCCTAATTCCACGCTATTTGGTTATGCTAGATCGTGGAAAGCAGCCTCAAAAATGGGCCCGAAGGGTGACCAAAGGACCATCTGAAAGGTGTATGCTGTTATCTATTTTCAGCCAGGCTACAAACACGACGGCAGAGTTCAGCCCAAATAATGACAAGCGGCGGAAGGTAAGACACACCAGTAATTTGGTAACTATGGCGTAGGGGTAGGGATCCAGGCCTGCGGCCCACCCGCTCTAAAGCATTCCCTCCGACTTCGGGGTGCGCTCGCAGTTACGCCTGAGGAGCCGGGTATGTTGCTGCACGCACATTAAGTAACCGGGACAGTCAGAAGGCTGGCACGGATGTTACCGGCCCCGGTGGCACCTGCTCTGCGGGGGGCCTCGCCGAAGCCATCAATGCCAAACCATTTGTGTCCATCGAACCCCAAATCCCCTTGTCTCTGCGGCCGGCCCTTACCAGGGAGGGCGCGGGGGCTGGCCCCGCGGTGGGGAGGGGGGAGGGGGAGGCC